CCGTGTCGACTGAAAGCATTCAGCCTTCGCGTCAGCAGTTTGAAGTCTGCGCGACTTGACGTCGAGCGAAGTTACTCCAGTCTGACGAGGACCAAGACAACCTCGCGGCCTCGAGCCAATGGCTCTGTGTGCGGCGCTATGTTACTCGCCGTGGGTGTGGAACTCTGTTACCCACACCGGAAAACGCATACAGCGACTTCCTTATCAGTTATGGTCTGAGTGACCTTGCGTGGAACTTTGTTACCCACGCTCGGAGCACCGAATGTCGGTCTCCTTAGGCAGCTTCACTGCTTGCGGAACTTGTTACCCGCAGTGTGGACCTATGTTACCCACCTGGTGAATGCCCTTAGGCACCACCACTGTCGAAGCGCATACGGCGCGACGACCTTCGGTGTTGGGATCGGCTGGTGTGGCAGACTCGCCCACACACCGGACAGAGTTGGTGTCCACCGACCGAGTCAGAGGAGTCCGGGCCCTGGACTCCGAGTCGCTTGAAGCGACGTCGGCCTGAACAAGGTTCAGACCCGACTTGCGGCGGCTGACGTGACGTGGCACTTCGTTACCCACGTCGTGATGTCTCGTTGACGACATCAGAGGCACTCGAGACCTCGTGTGGCACTGTGTTACCCACACAGGAAGCATGGACAATGCCTTCCTCTTCAGTTATAGTCTGGGCGACTGCGTGTGGTACTGTGTTACCCACACAGGAAGCATGGTCATGCCTTCCTCTTCAGTTATAGTCTGGGCGACTGCGTGTGGTACTGTGTTATTTACACAGGAAGCATGGTCATGCCTTCCTCTTCAGTTATAGTCTGGGCGACTGCGTGTGGTACTGTGTTATCCACACAGGAAGCGCATTCAGCGCCTTCCTCTTCAGTTAAGGTCTGGGCGACCGTGTGGTCCTAAGTTACCCACCTGGTTAGCGCTTCAAGCCATAACCACTGTCGAAGCCCGTACGGCGCGACGACCTTCGGCGTTGGACGCTGCTGGTGTAGCAGGTCCACACGCCGGGCAAAAGACCCATGCCCGTGGCATTGCCGCAGCGTAGCATGGTCTTGCTGTACGCAGAGCTGTCGGCGCGTTGACAGCTCCGTGACGCTTCTGCGTCCTGGCGGTCTGTATCAGACGCCCCAGTCATGACGGAGGTGGGAACATGACTCACCAATGCTCCGTCATAGACCTGGACTGGTAGGCCCTTCTCAGCCTTGCCACACCAAAGTCCGGGCTGTGCCTTATGTTCGGCACAGCCATGTTGTTCATGGCGAGAACTGCGAGCGACACCGCGGTGCGCGAGCTCATCGAGCCGAAACGTTCAGGTCCGTTGAGGACCATTGATACTACCGTACCAAAGGCTAGTGCATCAAAGACCAGCCCATGACCGCCACTCTGACATAGAGTGCAGTCGGATGTTGCTATGCCAAGCGACGTTCCGGCGGCGTATCAACGCCCCAGAACTCATCAAACGTTCAAGGGGTACCGTACCCCCGTACACCGAGTGTACTACCAGCAGCCCA